TAAGAGGTTTTATAAGCTATATTTTTAATATTGTAATTTAGATGTTAGCTAGAGAGCACATCACATTAGTTATAGAATAGTAAGAGGTTTTATAAGCTATATTTTTAATATTGTAATTTAGATGTTAGCTAGAGAGCACATCACATTAGTTATAGAATAGTAAGAGGTTTTATAAGCTACATTTTTAATATTGTAATTTAGATGTTAGCTAGAGAGCACATCACATTAGTTATAGAATAGTAAGAGGTTTTGCTAAGTATAAATAGAATGAGGAAAGATTATAAACATGGGGTCAATAAAGTATCAAGAGGATAGTTGAGGGACAGATAGTGAAGTGAAGCATCAATAAAATATTTGTTTCTAACCAATAAGTGAATCAGTCAGTATATTTGGATTTGTGTTAGCCATTATGCTTATTGAGTTGTTTTGTGCAAGTAAGTTACTTTTACATTATTTCTAGTATTCTTAGAGAGGTTTGAACATCATTTGTAATGAAGCTTACATCAGTGTTCAAGCTTGTAGAAACATTAAAGTAGAAAATAAAGGGATTTCTGGTTGTAACATGGACTGGGTTTTGAACCAAATGATTTCTAAAAACCTGCTCATGACTGAAAAACATTAAGACATTATAAAAAACAACCTAAGATTAAATTATATAAAAACCTAGAACTCAAAATCTGCCATGTTGTAAAGAACAACCTAAGGTAAAGTTTGTTAACAATTCAAAACATAAAATCTGGCATGTTGTAAAGAGTAATATAAACGTATTTTACAAGTGTTATTTTTAGCATTGCATTTTTGTGTAACATAGTTAATATATATATATTTTTTCAGTCGAAGAAGATGCCCGATGGGCGATGTGAGCTTCACCTGAAGCCAGGGAAAGCTTATGATGTGGGAGTATACAAATGTATTGCTCGTAACCTCCTTGGATCAGTAACATGTAGAGCTAGGTTAAAAATTGGAGGTAATGTTTTTTTCAGTGGGAAAAAACAACAATACTTTAAGGCATAAATGTTGTTAGATGAATGAATGTATTTTGTTGTTTCATTAAATAACTGTACATAATTTATTTTTTCAAACTGTTTTGATAAGATTTTATTGTAGTATGATAAAAATAATTTTTTGCTGTTTACCTTATTCGTCTGTATAAAATACAACTTCAGCTGTTATTTTACTGATTTTATTTTAAGTTTCTAATGAATATATGTTATAATTCACTGTTGATGAGGTCAACATATTGCATTATATTGAGTAATTATAAGCTTCTGCTATTACAACATTTTCTAGAAAGAAGTGGGTGAAATCACTCATTAGCTATGTTAAACATATAGGGGAACCCAACAGTAACTAGAAGGATTAATTGCTCTGTTAATTTTATTTTTGTATACTTGTTTTTGTGTGACTCACATGTCATTATATTGAGTAATTATAAGCTTCTGCTATTACAACATTTTCTAGAAAGAAGTGGGTGAAATCACTCATTAGCTGTGTAAAACATATAGGGGAACCCAACAGTAACTAGAAGGATTAAATTGCTCTGTTAATTTTATTTTTGTATACTTGTTTTTGTGTGACTCGCATGTCATTATGGACCCTATAACCAACAGATTCATGTACCTTTAAGCAACTTGGCACATAAATAGTTGAGAATACTATGTTTACCAGTTGGATCCATACCATTAATGTAATCTGTTCACACAATTAATTACTCATCACAAGAAGCAATATAAATGTTGAAAAGTAAATGTAAACAATCACATTAACTTGTGGTCTTTGATAACTTTTTAGATGCTTTGAAAGCTAGTAGAGTGAATTTTACATCTTTATATAATATTTTTGAATCTTGCAAACCTCTGTATTACTCTATACAACAGAATATCTATCTGTATACCACTAAAACTCTGAGATTGTTTGTGTGCTTGTCTGTAATTAAATACAGCAAAAACGACACACAATACTGCCATATTTGTAATGAAATGTGAATAGAGACAGAATAAAACAAATTTCGTTAAAATCAAGCCACGGGTTACCAAATTAGCCCCATTTTTCGGGTCACTTTTTGTACATTCCATTACTATAAAACTTCGTTTATACAACAATATATGCACAACAGAAATTAAATGATGAGATGAAAATGTGTTATAACAGCACATAGAAAGAACAAGAATAAAATAGACCTACAATATTATTGACTATTTGCAAATAGTAACTATGGAGACAAGGTAATAAAATAAAAATCAAGTCGAGAACAACAACACAATTTTATAAACAAAAACCTCTTGCTGAGCATCGG